GATGCCTAGCCCTGCACTAGACGGTTAAATGAGGAGTTAACCATATTTTCCATGCCTTGCCCGTATGCAGGGCATTTTGAAAATGCACCTAGGCATGCCTTTTTAGAACATTGCTCGAAAAGACCAAATTATGGAAGACCAAGAGATGTGACATCTGAGGATTTGGAACAACCAAACTATGTTATAGACTATTTTTAAAATCTCTGACACATGGCATATTAGAATTGGATTTTGCACCACTCATATGCCAAAATCAATATTGCAAAGTGAATCAATTTAGGAAAAGAATTGATTGATCAATTTAAGACCAAAAGTGGCTCTAATACTACAATTTAAGAATTGTACGAGAACAATTCATGATAAAATGTGGATATACATACCTTCAACAGATTATTCGTAGTGAATAATAGGGCCGTTGAGGAAGAAGAGAAAGAGAGGATAAGAGAAGAAGAAGGAAAAGAGGGATAGAAGAGAAAGAGAGAATGGGGAGAGATGAGATTTACAAAGCTTACCGATGCTATCTTGTTTAATATCATACTTTAATGTCAGAGGTTAGATGTGGCTCTTGTCACTTACTCTACACGGTAGACCAAAATGCCCCACAAGCTAGCCTCGTTATCTATTATTTCCAGGCAAACTTAAGTTGAATTGACTGTATTTCTAGTGTTTTTAGCACCTTTAGTTTTGGGTTATTTATTTTTCATATCATTCTCCATTTTGTGTTAAAAAAGGTAATCTAAAATTGATGAGCCTCTACTATATCTAAGAAGATTCCATTTAACTCTTTCGATAAAATTAAGAAAGCTAGTTAAAATATTGGAATACATCGCTCTTAGGGGCCAGATGATGGGAAGAGGAGAGGGGTGAGTGTTTATTGATTAATATTTCGGATCTCAATACCCTCTCTACCAAAAGGACACTATGGTTTTTACAATCCTATACAGCTGCAGTGCAATGCCGGTGCAATGTACCCATGTTGTGCTGTTGAAATCTCGAGGATATGATAGTATCTTAACTGCCATAATTAATACTTGTATTTAGGAAAAATTGTTGAATGATTCTTGGAGATGATTAGGTCAATTTAGGATTTAGGAAATAATTCTTCTTCCCGTAATCTTTTCTTTCCTTATTTTTAACTCTTCCCATGTACTATTAAAGGGGACACCCGATTGTAGTGTATTTATGAAAAATATAGAGAATTTTCTCTTTTTTCAATTCTCTATACTTACATGGTATCAGAGCCCATTAAGCTCTAACGAGTGACTTGATCCGATTATAACTCAATAAATGAACATACGAATTTCAAGATTGGTCTGCTGAAACGAGCCATCATTTTGTGGGGCATGTTAAGGGATATATTCCACATCGAATAAAGATGAAAATATAAATCACTTATAAGATCTTGGGCTACTCCTCTTAACAAGGTTGACCTTATTAAGATGGACTACAAGTCTTAACATAGTATCAGAGCCAAGTCGTGGCTCAACCTAATGGCAGAAAATGTCGACACCGGTACTCTGAGTCATACGATGGTGAAACAGAGATAATTCCCTCTGTGGGTTCAGGAGGAATGGATAATTCATCTTTCCAACTCACCATAGAAAATCTAAACGAAAAAAATTCAAAGAATGAGCCCAATCCATCAAACTAATAATAGATGGGAAGGGAAAATTAGGATACCTAACCGGAGAAGTGAAGAAGCTAGCCTCAACCGAAATTACCCGCTCGCAAAGGTGGAATTCAGAAAACTCCTTAGTGATTGCATGGCTCGTGAACTCTATGATACCTTCCATCAAAAAATCCTATCTCTTCTTGCCAACCGTAAAGGACGTTTGGGACGCAATAAGAGAGACCTACTCCAATTCAGAGAACACATCTAAGATTTTTGAAATCAAAATGAAATTGTGGCAAATCAAACTAGGAGATAGGGAAGTAGTTGATTACTATATGGAGATGGTAGCTTTGTGGCAGGAATTGGATTTAAGCACTGAAGAAGAATAGGCCTGTTCGGTCGACTGCGCGCGCTACCGAAAAAAATTAGAGAGTGAGAGGGTCTATGAATTTCTTGCTGGACTAAACAGTGACCCGGATGATGTCAGAGAAAAAATTCTTGCCCGTCGTCCCTTACCGTCGACGCGTGAAGTCTTTTCGGAGGTCCATTGCGAAGAAACCGATGAAGCGTAATGTTGGGGAGAGAGAAAAATGGACAGACCGAATTGGAAGTCTCGGCCTTATTGTTAAAAGAAATTGGGCCTCACAAGTTTGGGCCAGAAAACATGGGCCTCTCTTTTAAAATTGGACTAAGTGGAGTTTTTAATGGTGGACTTGTTGGAAATTCAAAAAATGGGCCGGCTGAATATTTAGGATTATATTCAAAAGAGCGATTTAATGGGTCGAGCCCAAAGCAGCAAAAGGGATGACCCTGGTATGAGCATTGTCGTAAGCCAGGGCACAAAGAAGATACCTGCTGGGATTTACATGGAAAATCGTTTATTGGAAGCCCAAGGCAGAATAATAGAAATCAAGGATACCAAGCTTCAGTAGACCAGAAAACTAAAAACCCCTCATAAAGCAGTGTATTCAATTCTGAACAGATGGGCAACTTTACAAAAATTTTGTTGGCCTTCAAGCATCTGACCAATCTTCCCCAAATGGATCTTCAATCTCACTGGCCCATTGAGGTAATTTCTTAAAGGTTTTAAATGTCATTTATTAATTGAAAAATTCTTGGATCATTGATTCTGGGGTATCTTTTTTCTTCATATTCAACCTGTGCGAGAAATTTCAAAGTTAATATTGCAGATGGTTCCCTCTCGTCTGTTGCTAGAAAAGCGAGTATTCGCATCTCTAACTCCATCACTTTAGAATCCATCCTTCATATTCCAAATTTAGCCTGTGATCTATTATCTATTAGCCAATTAACAAAGAACTCAAACTGCTCGGCTAAAAATTTTCCTTCGCACTATCTTTTTAATGACCTATCATCGAGGAAGACAATTGACAGTGCTAAGGAGTGCGATGGGCTCTACTACTTTGACGAGTTTAATTTGAGTAAGCAACATCGAATTGCATTTTGTGACTCTGCATCTGTTTCTAGTAAAAGTGAAATCTTATTATGGCATTTTAGAATGGGACACCCCAATTTTCAGTATTTGAAACATGTATTTCCTTCTATTTTCCTGAATAAAAGGCATGTCAATTTTCAATATGAATTCTGTGAACTTGCTAAACATTAAAGGACATCATTCCCAAAATCTACGTATAAACCATCAAAGCCATTCACATGATCTATAGTGATGTATGGGGTCCCTCACGTATACCTAATCGAACTAATACAAAATGGCTTGTCACATTCATTGACAACCACACTTGACTTTGTTGGGTGTATCTCTTAAAAGAAAAATTCGATGTTCGATCTCTATTTATCAATTTCCACTCCATGATATTGACCCAATTTGAGACACCTATTCAAATTCTGCGTACTGATAATGGCACAGAATACTTCAACAAAAATTTGGAAGATTCCTTCGAACACATGGAATAATTCATCAAGGCTCCTATGTTGAAACACCCCAGCAAAAAAGGATTGCTGAATGAAAAAATAGGCATCTTCTAGAGATTGCTCGAGCCCTAATGTTTGCTACAAATATGCCAAAATGATTTTGGGATGATGTGATCTTAACCGCCACCTATCTGATAAATCAAATGCCCAGTCGTACTTTAAATCTTGACTCACCACTTAAAAAATTCCAAAAATTCTTTCCAAGCTCTTGACTTGGCTCAAATCTATCACTCAAAGTGTTTGGTTGTACCACCTTCGTCCACATTCCTAGCAATCAAAGAAATAAACTAGATCCTCAAGCGATCAAATGTGTCTTTATCAGACACTCTCCTACTTAAAAAGGATACAAATGTTATGACCCTTCTACACGGAGAGTCATTGTGAGTCTTGATGTTACATTCTTTGAAAACACTCCATATTTCCAGAAAACCTCTCTTCAGGGGGAGGATCATAGTGAAGATCGATACCTAAATCTAGATCTTCTTCCCCTAGAACCTATCATACCATCTAGTTCTTCTATGCCATTAACAGGTGACAACTTGAATTCAGGGGGAGATGCAGAAAAACAACAAAACAATAAAATGCTTTTCTACTGAAGGAGACCAAAAGCAATGCATGAGAACCCCGCACCTGAAGCACCAAGAGAGTCGGAACCAATGATAGCTCTAGAACCTTATGACACCACAAAAGTACTTGAATCATCAGATATCAACCTTCCCATCACTCTCAGAAAAATCCCCGATCATATAATCTTCATCCTATCTCAAAGTTCATGTCATTTAACGCTTTATGTATAGAATTCCGCAGCTTTACTTCTCAACTTTACAGTACAGAGGAGCTTTGGAAATTTCGAAGTGGAAAGAAGCGGTAATGGAGGAAATGCTAGCATTGGAAAAAAAACTTGGGAAGTAGTGGACCTGCTTAAAGGAAAAAGACCAGTTGGATGCAAATGGGTCTTCAACTTAAAATATAAAGCTGATGGGACAATAGAAAGGTATAAGGCTCGACTAGTTGCGAAGGGATACACAAAAACGTATGGTATTGATTACACAGAGACATTTGCACCAATGACTAAATTAAATATTGTTCGAGTACTACTGTCATTGGCAACAAACCTAGATTGGTCTCTCCAGCAATTGTATATTAAGAATGCATTTCTAAATAAAGAATTAGAAGAAGAGGTTTACATGAGATTACCTCCAGGTTTTTGCAAGGTAAATGAGGATAATCAAGTTTGTAAACTCAAGAAGTCACTTTATGGTCTTAAACAGTCACCTAGGGCATGGTTTGATAGATATGCAGAGGTACTAAAGAGGCAAGGATACCAACAAGGACAGTCGATCACACTTTGTTCCTCAAAAGGTTCAATAATGGGACTACAACAATCTTAATTGTATATGTTGACAACATAATTTTGACAAGTGACAACATAATAGAAATGGAGAAACTAAAGAAGAGTTTAGCAATAGAATTTGAAGTAAAAGATCTGGGACAAATGCAATACTTCTTGGGAATGGAAGTAGCAAGGTCACATAAAGGTATCAGTATCTTACAAAGAAAATATGTACTTGATCTTCTTATAGAGACAGGAATACTTGGATGTAAGCCAAGTGATACACCTATCGATGCAGAAAAAAGGATCAAGAATGCTGGGAATTCTGTAGACATAGACAGATATCAACGACTGGTAGGTAAATTGATCTACTTGTCATACACTAGACCTGATATTGTATTTGCAGTTAGTGTGGTAAGTCAACATATACATGCTCCGAAGGTAGTTCACCTAGAAGAAGTCTACAAGATACTCAGATATCTCAAGGGTTCCATTAGAAGAGGACTATATTTCAAGAAAGGTGACAGAAAAGAAATAGAAATCTTCATGGACACGGATTGGGCAGATTCAATGGAGGATCGAAAGTCAACTACAGGATATTGCACCTTTGAATGGGGAAATCTAGTAACATAGAGAAATAAAATGTGGTAGCTAGAAGTAGTGCTGAAACCGAATTTAGAGCAATAGCACAAGGAATATGTGAGGGGCTGTGGTTGAAGAAACTCCTATAAGAGCTACATGTTACAATAAAATTTTCGGTCAAACTTTACTGTGATAACAAAGCTGCCATCAACATTTCTCTCAACCCAGTTCAACATGATCGAGCTAAACATGTAGAGGTGGACATACATTTTATTAAAGAAAAGGTAGAAGACGGAACTATTTGTATGACATATGTTCCCACACAGGAACAAACAACGGACATCTTCACCAAAGGACTACCTCGACAAAAAATTGATGACTTCATTCACAAGTTGGATATGATCAACATTTACAATCCAAATTGGGGGAAGTGTTGAAATCTCGAGGATATGACAGTATCTTAACTGCCATAATTAATACTTGTATTTAGGAAAATTGTAATTGTTGAATGATTCTTGGAGATAATTAGGTCAATTTAGGATTTAGGAAATAATTCTTCTTCCCGTAATCTTTTCTTTCCTTATTTTTAACTCTTTTCGTGTACTATTAAAGGGGACACCCGATTGTAGTGTATATATGAAAAATATAGAGAATTTTCTCTTTTTTCAATTCTCTGTACTTACATGTGCAATGTTGATGCAAATAGGTATTTTGTGTCATTGCCCCCTCCCCAAGCATATTTAGTAGGTGAAGGAGAAAGAATAATGTTTACATTGAATCAATTGATTTGTCAAAGAATTAGGTAACTTTTACATTTTTAAGTAAGCAAGAAAGAAATATGTGAATAATTCGAGATAAGGTGCAAATATACATACCTTTAGCCACAAGCTTTAAGAATTGCTTGTAGCAACCAATAGAACCATTGAGGAAGAAGAGAAAGAGGGGATAAGAGAAGAGAAAGGAAGAGACAGATAGAAGAAAGATAGATTAGAGAGAGAATGGTGAGAGACGAGATTTACAAAGTCTAGTGCTACTATCTTGTATAATATCATACATTAATATTAGAGGTGAATTGCGGCTTCTGTCACTTTACTCCCATGGTGGCCCACAAGCTAGCCTCTTTAGCTATTATATTCCCCGATAAACTTAAGTTTAATTGACTGTCTTTCTAGTTTTTTAGCACCTCTGGTTTTGGCTAGTTTATTTTAATATCATTCTCCTTTTTGTATTAAAAAAGTAACCGAAAATTTGGCAAATCTCTAATACTATATCTAATAGGAATCCATCTAATTATTTCGATAAAATTAAGAAAAGTGATTAACTTATTGGAATGCATAGGAGGGCAGAGATGGAAAGAGGTGAGAGGTAAGTGTTCTTGGATTGATATTTTGGAACTAAATAGTCTCTCTAACCTAAAGGCCACTAATGTTTTTATAATCCGATGCAGTTGCAACCAATGTTTTAAGAATCGGACCGGACCGTCATGTTCTACCCTAAAAATTGGGAACCTGTTCGATTAACTTAAAAAACCTTAACTTAAAAACTTGCCTAGAAACCAATCGATCCGGCCGGTTTGGAAGGAACCCATGATCTGCTAACGGTTTACCCTATTTACACTCTCTTGTTTCCCTCTTTGAAAATTTGTTTTCTCTCTATAGATTCATGGCAAAAAAGCCTGTTAGTATGGGGTTTTTTGGTGTTCTCGCACCCATTTAGGTATGTGGCATTTTTCTCTTTGAGTCCCTTTTTCTATGAGAGAGTAAATTACCGTGAAGATGGTTTATATGGCTGCATTTTGTCGAAATCTTTGGACTTTCCTCAAATTTGATCTTTTGTGGTTTTTTAAAGATTTTCTATAAGAACTTGAACTTATTTATCTATAGAATATTGTCAATTGTTTACCTAATAAATCCCAAGGCAATGTGTTAAACGTCGGACTTGAAATACATACCGATCTTTGGATTTGCTTAATCTAAAGGTCACGATTATTTGTCAAAAATACTTGTCAGATCCATGTGTAAGAGGAATGATCCCCTATATGTGTGTGTTTCTAGTCTAGCCATTTTAGTGTGTGATTTGTGTATGAGCATGGAAGAAAACGTGGCCGCCATATTGGTGGAGAAAAATAGGCTGCTTTGTGCTTCCAAGACCGGTAGCTTCTTTGTGTCTTTGGTCTCTTTTTGTGCCTCTTTCATTGGTTTTTCGTCTTGTCTTTGTGGCTACAAATCATCATTGTTATCATGTCCTTTGTGGGTGAGATTGAAAAGCAATCGAGATGTATATATTGGTTGTAAATTGGAGCTATTTGGATTAGTTCTTTGATAGAGAAAGGTAACGTGAAACTGAGTCCGAAAATCACCGATTTGACGATCTTTAGAGCAAGCTTTCATGACATCAGTCTTGGGGTTTCTTCTTTCTCTATTTCTTTCATCAACATCTTCTTCAAATTTCGGAGTCTTTTAGGGAAAATTGCTGTTTTCTTGAAGCCCTTTTTCTTATCAGTAATTTATTGTTAAATTTCTGGATTACTCCAAAACTACTGTGGAGTGTGTTTGATATAAAAATGGATTGTGTTTGCTGTATTTTCTTTTTGAAATCTGTTCATTCTATTTTGTTAAAAACTGCGATGAAATCTGATCTTTACATTTACGCTCTTTTTTTGGTGGTTTTTTTAAGGTGTAAAGTTTTGATTTTGAGTTTTCTTCTCTTTTTGTATACCATTTTTATGGTTTTGCTTCTCTTTGCTCGCATCTATTTGCATTTCCAGTTTTCTTCTCAAACTCACGCAGTTTTAAAGATATTATTTTCATGAATTTAACCCCCTTTATTTCCGTATTTTGGGCATTTTTGCTAAATTTTTCTATTTTACTACCTTTTGGTGCATTGTTTTGATTTTGTGGTAAATTTTGGCCCATTTAATTTACAATTTATTCTCATTTGTTGATTTTTTATTTTTCTTTTTGTAATTTTTTTATATTTAAATTTTTAAAAAATCACCGAGTACCCTGGTTAGGCCCTTCCCTTGACCCTCTCCTTTTTACCGTCCAGGTCGATTTTTAAAATATTGGTTGCAACACCTGTTGTGCAATGTGCAGTTCAAAATTTTGTTTCTCCACCCCCTCCCCCCAACATATTTGGTAGGTGAAGGGGAAATAATAATGTTCACACTAAGTCAATTTACTTGTAGATGATTAAGTAATTTTAACCTTCTTAAGCAAGCAAGAAAGAAATAAACGTTGAAGTTATCTAGCATATCAAGTTAATTAGTGTGAACTCATAGCGATCAAGGACAGCATAGTGGGTAAGTGGCTTCTTCTATCCTATCATTCTTGTGGTTTTCACAGGCTTGCTGGGCTATGCTAGGCATTTTTAAAAATAACCCGTCAGTTTCAATTTCGTCTATCAAGAAAACTGTGTTTCAGGTAATTCATTTCATTTGAACCCCCTCTTAATTAACTCAAAACTATAGTGATTAAAAGAAATAATTAATTTTAAAATAATACGGACAACTTTATTTTCCTACAAGAGATGAGTCATGCACATAATTGTCACGGTTCCTTGTCGAAAAAAATCACGAATTCAACAACATAAGCAAAATTTGAAAAAGAAAAAAAGAATATTTGTAAATGAATGAAGAGGAGAAGAAGAAGACTACCTTCAAGCAAAGTCGTTGTAGTATTTACATTCTTGTGTGGTTAAGTGTCTTGGTTTTGTGGTGCTAGGATGCGTTCAGCCATTCTACGAGGTGGAGCAGTAACGGAGGACACATTTTTCAAAGCATCTAAAAAGAAAGTTAAGATTTTAAGGCATTTAAATGCACCACTAGACAAAGGAGTCCAACACTTGGCCTTAAAGAGGTAATTTTGTTCGCAGGGGTAAATCGATGAAATATATAGTAGGAGGGTGAAAGATGGGAAGAGGGCAGGGGCAAATGCTCTTATATTATTTTTGGATCGCAATAATCACTTGTACCCAAAGACCACTAAGGATTTTATTATCCAATGCAGCTACAGCACCTGTTGGGCAATTTCAGTGCAATGTTTGCACTTAAGAATTTGTGTCAATGTTCCCTCCCCTAGCATATTTGGTAGGTGAAGAGAAAATAATCATGTTTACATTAAATCAATTGATTTGTCATGTAACTTAATCTTTTTAAGCAAGCAGAAAGAAATAAATATTAGTTGAAGCCTTCTAGCATATCAAGTTAAAAATACGAGACATATCGGTTAGAGGAAAGCACACTGCGTAAGTGTATTGTATCAATCCTGTGTTTTTTACAGGCTTATTGGGCTATGCTAGGGATTCTCACAAATAACTCTGTCTCAATTTCTTCTATAGAGAAAATTGTGTTTCAGCTAATTCATTTTATTAAAATAAATAATTAGTTTAAAATAATAATGGGGTCCAATTTATTTTCCCAAAGAGATGAGTCCTACATAATTGTCAACAGTAAACTCCGTGTCGAGAAAGCTCATAAATTCAACAATGTTATTTAAAATTGGAAAAGAGAAATATTAAGGCATGAAGTAAGAGGAGGAGAAAAAGACTACCTTTAGGCAAAGACGTCGCAGTACTTATAATCTTCTGTGGTG